GTATGTGTGTGTGTGTGTATATATATATATAAATAAATGAATAGTGTGGAGCTGCACATCAAATTGGGAGTTCTCCAACTAGTTTGAAAATGTACCTACCTAAATGTACCTATCCCCCAAACACATTTTGAATTGATTTATATTCTGCTGCTTTAACAGAAGAAATGGACCAGTAAGAAATAATACACATACTTGGTCAGTAGATATTTATATCTGGAATAAGACTTCTCTTGGGAGAATATATTTTAAAAAAAAACAGCAACATTTCAGGCATCCTGGCAACAGTTTGTTGGGGGAAATAATTATGTATGATAAAAGTTCTCAAAATATTTTTTGGCCAACAACATGTAAGTTAATGACAAAATTTTGCAACTTCTATTCACACTGGAATCAAGTTCAATAAGTCCATCCAGTTTACCCCCAAAAAAACTACTTTCCATCAAATATCATATTTAGTATGAGGAAACAATTGTTTTTTTAAAAAGCGTACAGGTTACGTTGCAAATAGTAGTATATCCACAACAAGCATCTCTATTACATGCTGCACAGTCGGGTGTGTGTGTGTGGGGGGGGGATTACAAGCAAGATGCACTCCCATGTTTGATAAGATTTTTCCCTTGTACACAAATTATATATATAGCCTGTATATGGCATACTAATTCCCACAATTTGTGTTTTTCATTTTCTCTACCAATGAAGTGCAAAACACAGAATAAAAACTTTTCCCTCAGGTCTGCTACACTTTTGTTACCCAGATTGTGGAATGGAAAACTATGCTCAGAGACTGAATTTGGTTTTCATGACTTCTCATTTTCCCCATAATCCAAAAACCTCTTTGTGATGACGCATATGAAGCTTCATTCTAACTAATGGATTAATAGAATGAAGCACACCATTTTAGTTTCAACCACAGATTTTTTTAAGGAAGTGGCAAACCATTTCAGCTAGTTGAGAAAATGAAAATTAGTCCCTGGGAGAGGATACAATCAATGGTGTGTTAATCTAACCCTCAGCTGTTAATGATTTGCACTAGGATTTCCCCTGATGCTGTGGGTTCTGCTGAAATATTGTTTTAGCAGTTTCTGTCAGATTTCCCTACCCTTTTCTTGATGAAAAGGAACTGACTGAAGGGGAAAGCTCAGCAACAAATTTGTGCTTTCTTTTTTTTTTAATCCCAATTCTTTTACACCACCAAAAGGCAGATGGGGAGGGAGACAGAATGTTCTCCTTTTCAGTTCTGTCCTGTTTAGTCTATCTAATGTCCATAGCTCCTTTAACTGACAAAAAACAGTGTTAGGCCAAGCATTCATCATTAGAAACTGGCAATTAACACCTAACTTCTATGATTTGTAACTGCTTTGTGAATGTACTCTCAGAAAGCTAAAAGCCTTTCACAGTTCTTGCTTGAAAAGACAACTGTGAAAAGAGCTAAAGTGTTCCCAGATCTCACATAGTAGTAGAGAGCCCAGGGCTACGAGGTCCAGATCCACGCCCTGGTTGTGGGAGCCCTGGGCGCATGGGACCCCCACAACGAGCCGGTACTGAGAGCGTGCGGAGTCAGTCAACGCTACGCCCGGCTCATGAGATAGCTCATGGTGTCCGACACCATCAGGTAGTCCAGAGACATCTACATGGAACACGTCACAGCACACCGACAGTACTAGGTCGAGTAACCGAGAACGCCGACCCACACCCCAATCTGGATCTATGCTGGTTATGCGATATGTATGTACCTCGTGAACCTTGTAACCGATGCTTGCAATCCCCCATAGTGCAAGCCTGACCCCAGATGTACAGTACCTTCCCTCTTAACTTGGGTAAATTTGATTTTAAACATTAACTTTAATAAAATTTTTAAATCTGTGAGCTGGATGAGAATCTTAGTACAGTATGCATCTTCACTTCAGTGCCCGTGCCACCACCAAGGGCCAGATCCTGAAAAGTGCTGAGTGTCCTCAGTGGTCATTCACTTCACCAAATTCTCCCAACCTTGCAAAATAATACGTGCATAGCATTCACAGAGCCAAATCCTGCAAAATGTTGAGTGCCACTGCGAGGAAAGCATTCAGCACCTTGCAAAATTGAGCTATATGCATACAATGCAATTTTTCTTAATAAATATTTTTTGCAGGGATGGATGAATCTGGTGAATTGTAGTGCTCTTAAAATAAAAATGAGACATAGTACCAAAACTGCTAATTTCCTTATACCATGGTACCAAAACTGCTAACTTCCTTATACACCCAGACCTTCATCATAATCTGCCCTGGTCTTTCCAGACCAGAAATACAGCTTTTTGATTTGGTAAATCTGTGATGTGTATGAATCTCTAGAAAACAACATTAATTCCAACTGAAAATACATATTGATTTCATTTATTTCATAAATAAGGTCTGACTGAGGTTTCTCAGTTGTACAGTCATTTTCACTGCTCATCAATTACTGAAAGAATTTCTTGTTTATATAAAAACTGATACACAAAACAGGTTGGATAGAATTAACATCTTGAAAAAATAGTAACATGAAATAACCAACCAAATAATTAAGCAAATTTCTTTTGAATATTTCTGATTTGTGTAGGCAGCGTTGGGAAAGAGCTAGCTGATATCTTCTATGTATCTGCTTAATTCTTTAAATGGCAACTTCTAAGGCTATTGCTCCTGAAAACTGAAATAAACAACCACATGTAGCCCATACTTTCTGGGGGCCTGATCCAAAACCATAGCCATAAATCTTGTCAAACTCACCAGACAGCTTTTTTTAAAATGAAACTACAAATTTGGTTTATAAAGCTAATAGTGTTGATAAAACATATTTAGACTTCTGTAAGGTATTTGACTTGGTACTACACGGCATTTTGATTAAAGAAATTAAAACAATACGACATCAACATGGCACACATTGAAGGGATTAAAAACGGTCTAACTCAATGTATCTGCCAACAGGGAATCTTCACTGAGCAGCTATGTTTCTAATGGGATCACCTAGAAATCAGTTCTTGGCCCTATGTTATTTAACATCTTTATCAACATCTGGGAAGAAAACAAACTCATTACTAATTAAGTTTGCAGATGACACAAAAAAAGGGGGAGTTATAAATATGAAGAGGACAGGTCACTGATACAGAATGATCTGGACTGCTTAGCCCATGTGCTTCAATACAGCCAAATGTAACTCATACATCTAGGACAGCGGTTCTCAAACTGTGGGTCAAAAGTGGGTCGTGATTCTGTTTTAATGGAGTTGCCAGGGCTGGCACAGACTTGCTGTGGCCCGGGGCTGAAGCCAAAGTCTGAGCCCCACTGCCCGGGGCCGAACGAGGCTCAGGCTTCAGCTTCAGCCCTGGGCGGCGGGGCCAGGTTACAGGTCCCCCACCTGGAACTGAAGCCCTTGGGCTTCAGCTTTGCGCCAGGACTGTGGGGCTCGCGGTTTGACCCCCCACCTGGTGGAGCGAAGCTTCGGCCCCCCTCCTGGGGGCACGTAGTAATTTTTGTTGTCAGAAAGGAGTCGTAGTGCAATGAAGTTTGAGAACCCCTGATCTAGGAACAAAGAATGTAGGCCATACTTCCAGGATGGAGAAACTACCGTGGGAAGCAATGACTCTAGAAAAGACTTGGGGTCATGGTGGATAATCAGCTGAATGTGAGTGCCCAGTGAGATGCTGAGGCCAAAAGGGCTAATGCTGTCCTTGGATTTGTAAATACAGGAATATGAAGCAGGAGAAGAGGTTAAATCAACTCTGTACTTGACATTGATGTTAGTGGTGTTACTGAAACACTGTGTCCAGTTCTGTCGTCTACACTACAAGGATGTTGAAATATCAGAGGGTTCAGATAAGACACATGAGAGTGGTTAAAGAACTGAAAATTATGCCTCATAGAGAAAGACTGAAGGACTCAATCTACTTAGTTTATCAAAGAAAAGATAAGAGTGACTTGATCACAGCCTACAAATATGTACATAAGGAACAGAAATTAGATAACAGAGATAGTTTCAATCTAGAAGACAAAGATATAACAAAGTCCAATGGCTGGAAGATGAAGCTAGACAAATTCAGACTAGAACTAAGGTGCACATTTTTAACAATGAGGGTAACCAATCATAGGAAACAACTTGCATATGGATCACAGAGTCATAGAATATCAGTGTTGGAAGGGACCTCTGGAGATCATCTAGTCCAATCCCCAGCTCAAAGCAGGACCAATCCCCAATTTTTGCCCCAGATCCCTAAATGGCCCCCCTCAAGGATTGAACTCACAACCCTGGGTTTAGCAGGCCAATGCTCAAACCACTGAGCTATGCCTCCCCCCCCCCCCCCCCCCACACACACACACTGGGAATTTTAAAATCAAGCTTGGATGTTTTTCTAAAAGATATGGTCTAGTTCAATCACAGCTGTTGAATTTAAAGCAGGAATTAATAAAAGGAAGTCCTATGGTCTGTGTTATGTAGGAGGTCAGATTAGATTATCACAGTGTCTCTTCAGGCCTTAAAAACCTATGAAAAACCTGCTGGAGTTAAACAAGAGACTCCCATTGATTTCAATGGTCACTGGATCAGGCCCATGTTGAGAAATCTATCATCTATCCTTATTACTTCAACGTACGTTTCTTTTTTAGTAGACCAATGGAAAGGAGATATGTATATTTTTTTGCTCTTGCCTGAGAGCTAACAGAAGAAAACAGATTTAAATATACATTGTATTGTAACACAAGAAGCAGTCTACCTAACCAAAGTCACAGATTCCTCAATACCTGAAGCCCCACAGATTTCAAGACAGAGTTGGACTTGGTTAATATCCTTTAAATATTAAATTTACTGTTACATTTCAGAAAGAAATTTACACCTTGTTAATGCAAAATCAATTTTTGGCAAAGCTGCATCCACCTCTTGACTAATTAATTTGGGTTAACTACAACCTTTTAAAATATTTATAAGGCAATTCTTCCCCCTCCCTCCAAATGAGGAATGAATAAAGCCAATACAACAGTCATACTTACTCTGGAAGTCGAGACAGGACTCCTGCAGAGACAGAAGTTATGCTATCATTGATCCGCCCTGGTGCCTGATGCTTCCAAACCCAACTGACAACAAACTCCAACAGCATCAAGACAAGGAAAAGCGGCGTAGCCTGAAAAGGGATTTGAGAAGAGCAATTATAACACAAACTGAATTCTGCATAAATTTCTGAACACGATAGCAAGCAGGTTACTCAGAATAGCATCATATGTTAGAAGATACCACAATGACATTTTAGAATGGTCCTCCCCAAGCCTTTTCTTTTCTTTATTATTGTTGTGTCTAGAGGATGTAATGGGCTACGGTGTGAAAATTTTAACTATACTCATGGCAAAAATGGATATGAACAATAAAAAAAATAATATCTGCAAAAAGTTGAATAAATATATATTGATTTGTAAACAAATTTGAGTTGATTATTGCATGTCCTTGTGTACATATAAAACACTTGATATACATTGTCACAAATTTTCCAGATGGTCTCATTTTGGATGGCACTTCCATATAGGACATGATTTCTCATTTAGTCTTTTTGAATGGAGGTGGGAGGATAGTGCTGACTTTGGCTACAGGAACTTTTCCGTAAGAGCCGTAGATTGTTTTGTACAGCCGAAATCCTTTTCCAGCCATACCAGCAGCATCTTCAGATTGCAAGTGAATGAATGGGCATTTTACCACATGATTCACTGGGAAAAAAATAATGACCTCAAGACACCAAACACTGAAGAACTAAAAATTTACATTGGCATAGTTCCATTGATTTCAACTTGAATTTTAAGATAAACTTATGATTATGCTTGCTTAAGTTTGTGCGGTCACTGTTTGAGTTCAAGAGTATGAAAAAATCAGATCTGGTGCCATCAGCTATTTCTGCCCAGATTAAAAGACTTAATCCTGCAAACATTTAAATGGAACACATTATTTGCTACTGTTAAGGCAGAGTTTAATTCACAGCGCCTGTTGTTTATGTTTATATTGAATTCAATTTGCTTTATATTCTCCCCTCATTTCCAGTTTTCAATGCACAGCAGATTTTTGTACTGCTGTACAAAATGTTATACCTCTATTACTGATGCTGTCAGGAATGAAACAGGAGGTTTGCATAGCTGGTGACGGGTCATTTGAGGCTTTTGGCACTGGGGAGGCACAAGAGGCAGGCAGGGATTGTGGAATAAGCACACTAGATGAGTGTCTCTGCCCAAAGGATCTGGTGTCAAATAGATAACAAGACAGACCTTTACACTTCCCTCACTAGGATACAGAATGAACTGCCAACCAAGGTGAATGTGGGTGGCTTAAACCACACAGAAATATTTTTCCTGCTGTGGGAAGTCTCAAGAAGGCAACGCAACACTTGGTCCCAGTTTTAATTTATCTTCCCAAATATGAGGGAAGGGAAGAATTCTGTGACAAATTCCACAGTAGTGGAATATATAGGCCTTGACTAAGACCTGAGTTGTTGCCATGAAGTTTTTAAATCACTATGCCAAGCAGTGAGTGTTTGCAGGACTGGACTCTAAATTATAATGTGAAACCTTTTGGAAAGAATGGAGACCCAATGACTGAAAGCCAAAAGAATGCCTCAAAGATCCCCTTCCTGGAACAAACCTAAACAGGTACATCAATATTGATAATTTGGGACCAATAAGTCATAAATATTTTTTATTTGAAATACAACAATCCTACACAGTTCTCAATAAAATCATATTCCCTTTTTTTGTTTTTTTGCATCACCTGCTTCAATACTAAATAGGAAACATGATTTTTTTCTGAGATATGATTAAAAATATAGCATTTTGTTAGAAAAATAGCTGTATCAAACATTTCCCGTCCTCTCGACCAAAGCTCAATGACAAGTTAAAAAAATGAGTATGTAGACAGTTGGGAGAAGAATTGGCTCATTAAAGGCCCAGTCCTTGTAAGGGATCATTGAGCTCAATACCAGGAGCCAGATCCGGGCCTTCATACTACCGTATGGCACTGAGCTATGGAGCAGCAAGTTCGGCACTGCAAATTGCACAGACCCAGAGAAGGACACCAGTTGGGGGAACCTTAAAGGATGAAGGGAGAATGGTGAATAGGAAACATATGGTTATGTTGTGCATAGCTATTTGTTTTACCTGCCAACAACTACACTGCTTAAAATATCTGACTTTTGTACACTCTTGTCACTACTGCAACTCCTTTACAACTACCGCTTTTAGCATCTGTTTCCCATTGTGTGATTATGTCACACGCAGCCATCTGACAGTGTTCCCTGGTTCTCAAACAGGGAGTGCTATGTCAGACAGCCAGAGGGGGCACCATTCATATTGTCTTACCCACTTGCCAGTCAAGAAGCTTGCCAGTAAACAGTTCTCATTTATGGATCTGAGCGTCTGAATCCAAGTCAACTGCTGTTCCTCTCCCACAAATCTTGTTGTTGTCAGAAAGCAGTTTGAAGAGATCAACTAACCTAGGTTTCAAACTCTAGAAGTGCTTTCCTCGCCCCATCCATTTCCAACTCCCACCTTTTTGCCCACCACACCACCAGAAATACTGTAAGTAGGTTTGGGATTGATAAGAACTCCATTTAGCTTTCATCTGTAGCCTGAACAGTCCACTCTCAGCATTCAGGAGGAAGCTATCTTTGTTGAGTGAGCACTTAAATCATCAATTTCTGCAGAATTTAAAGTGTCATTTTAAAAAAGTCCTTCTGGATGCAAAATAATATTCTCAATATGAACCAAATGTAAACTGGTGGAATATTATATTCACTGTGCAAACTCTCATGATTTTATTGAGATCTCACAGTATTTGGTGTTTTCTTAGTCACAGCTCCTGTAAGCTTATTACATGAAAATCCCAGCTTTCACTTAAAATGAAATACAAGTTACTAGCTCTCATGATAGAGCAGAAAAGCCTGAAAACATGAACCGAGTGCACTCAACAGACACACAAACCAGAACACAAATTAAAAGAAAGCCACTTTTCAAAAAAAACCCTCATAATTTTTCAAGCCAATTTCATGATTTTTTCAGGGGTGAGGCCAACTCATGATTTTTGACCACTTGAGACCAGCAGTACTACGTATTCCTGAGATTGGACACAGACATTCAGCACCTCTGCTGCTTCTCATACCTTCTCAAAGTAGCAAAAGTAGAGCATGCTGCTGCCTGCTGTGAAAGCTATGAGCAGAAGCAGAGTCAAGCTTTAGAGCTGCCCATTTGTGGGACCAGGAGAGGATCCAAGAAATAGAGTCCGGGAAGAAGGGTGGAGTAGCCGAGTCTACCCCATCTTCTTACACCCATGTTAGACAGGAAGCTTCACAGGGGCACAGAGAAACCACCATTCCATATTGCAACACTCCAGATACCCTGAAATGAGGGAAGAAAGGTACACAGAATTTTCCCTTTTCCTTCTGGTAATTAAGGGGAAGAGGAATTTCCAAATTCAGTTATCTACAAACTGATATGGAAAAATGGACCCCTGAGTATGGTTGAGGGCCAGTGTCCCAAATGGTATCCAAACACCCTTTCTTTTGCCTGAAGTTTTGGTGAGAAACAGGGGCTGGCTCTCCACAAAGCACTACTTCAGAATCCTGCTATAACCAGAGGCGGATATTAAAGGTAGGGGGAGCTAATAGGTTTAGGCTTCCTGTTCTAAAAGGAAGCCAGCACTCCGTTTTGTAGTTCCCCCTCTCTACTCAGCAGTAGCACTGGAGATACTCAAGTGATTCAGAAGGCATTGCCAACTGGATGAGTCCCTCCCGCAGAAACACTTAAGTTGGTCTGATAAATTTTCCAAGTCCTTTTATACAGCTTGCTTATACTAACGTACTTTATTTTGTACTCACTCCCCAAAAATCGGTTTGTTTAATCACTTGCTGTCTCATCCACCTGTTATATTATCCTTTAAATTGTAAGCTCCTCAAGGAAAGGCCTTGTCATTACCATGCCCAGCATAGAAACTTTTGCCATTATTGGTTGCAGGGTGTAATTTTTTTGCAAAACATACTGGGAAAAGCCCGAGTGTCACTGCAGTTATAACGTCATAAAAATGCTTTTGCCAATATAGATTATTTTGCTATGTTGGCCAAAGCACTCTTTTGCCAGCATAAACTGTGTCTATACTAAGTGGTAGAGCTATATGGGTAAACTTTTTCTAGGGTAGTCATGGCCTATGTACTTGTAATGCCTTGCACAATGGGGCCCCATTCTAATTGGGGCTCCTGGGTGCTCCTGCATTACTGATAACAATAATAAAATAATAAATAATCCATCCCTAGCATCTGGTACAGCAAGTCTTTGACTGGTTCTAGGGGCGGAACAGATCATCTGAAAGTTAACTAAAGCTGGGGTGTGCATGGCACAAACAAGTCTGAGCTGACTCTCCCAAAGCTTCTTTTTCTCCTTCTGTCATAAATATAAAGGGAAGGGTAAACCCCTTTGAAATCCCTCCTGGCCAGGGGAAAGCTCCTCTCACCTGTAAAGGGTTAAGAAGCTAAAGGTAACCTCGCTGGCACCTGACCAAAATGACCAATGAGGAGACAAGATACTTTCAAAAGCTGGGAGGAGGGAGAGAAACAAAGGGTCTGTGTCTGTCTATATGCTGGTCTTTACCGGGGATAGACCAGGAATGGAGTCTTAGAACTTTTAGTAAGTAATCTAGCTAGGTATGTGTTAGATTATGATTTCTTTAAATGGCTGAGAAAAGAATTGTGCTGAATAGAATAACTATTTCTGTCTGTGTATCTTTTTTGTAACTTAAGGTTTTGCCTAGAGGGGTTCTCTATGTTTTTGAATCTAATTACCCTGTAAGATATCTACCATCCTGATTTTACAGGGGGGATTTCTTTATTTCTATTTACTTCTATTTTTTATTAAAAGTCTTCTTGTAAAAAACTGAATGCTTTTTCATTGTTCTCAGATCCAAGGGTTTGGGTCTGTGGTCACCTAGGCAAATTGGTGAGGCTTTTTATCCAACATTTCCCAGGAAAAGGGGGGTGCAAGTGTTGGGAGGATTGTTCATTGTTCTTAAGATCCAAGGGTCTGGGTCTGTAGTCACCTAGGCAAATTGGTGAGGCTTTTTACCAAACCTTGTCCAGGAAGTGGGGTGCAAGGTTTTGGGAAGTATTTTGGGGGGAAGGACGCGTCCAAACAGCTCTTCCCCAGTAACCAGTATTAGTTTGGTGGTGGTAGCGGCCAGTCCAAGGACAACGGGTGGAATATTTTGTACCTTGGGGAAGTTTTGACCTAAGCTGGTAAAGATAAGCTTAGGAGGTTTTTCATGCAGGTCCCCACATCTGTACCCTAGAGTTCAGAGTGGGGGAGGAACCTTGACACCTTCATTTTAACTATCTTCATTTTTTTAAATGGAAATAGTCGCTTTCTTTCTTCTTTGTCTCAGCCAGGTGGCAAGCTCTTCAGGGCAGAGAGATCTATCTGCATATTCTGGGAAGCAGGGTACAGTACTATCTCAAACTCCTTATGAGAAAATAATATCTGTTCCCCTTATATTAAAGCTATCCATTTCAATTTTTCACCCATTATACCCACAGATTGTCAAACCTTGCAATGTTATCACCAGTCTCACAATATTTGAGGTTTCTCTTAAAACCTCAGTTGCTAGTACCAAGAGATAGCATGAAAATCTCAGCTTTCATTTACAATAAAAGTTCCTAGCCCCCGTGGTTGCAGAAAGCTTGAAAACAGGAAGCTAGTGCACTCTAAAGGCTCAGAAACTAGAAGGCAAATAAAAAGGCAGCATTTTAAAGTCTCATTATTTTTATGGCAAACTCATTGGGGGAAGGGAGGTAGACTCATTTTGGACAGCCTGGGGTTGGTAATACTGAGGTGCAGGTGAAATCCAAGCAGAGAGGGACAAGCAGAGAAAAGAGTGAAGGGCTGTAAAGGGCAGCTGGTATGTGAGAGGTGGGCAGGGGGTTGCAAGGGGCAGAGAGGAGGAAGGTGAGGCCAGGCACGGGGCACAGAGAGAGGGGCAGGTGAGGCCAGGCATGGGGCACAGAGGTAGGCAGGGGGTTGCAAGGGGCAGAGAGGAGGAAGGTGAGGCCAGGCACGGGGCACAGAGAGAGGGGCAGGTGAGGCCAGGCACGGGGCACAGGAGTAGGCAGGGGGCTGCAAGGGGCAGAGAGGAGGAAGGTGAGGCCAGGCACGGGGCACAGAGAGAGGGGCAGGTGAGGCCAGGCACGGGGTAGGCAGGGGGCTGCAAGGGGCAGAGAGGAGGAAGGCGAGGCCAGGCACGGGGCACAGAGAGAGGGGCAGACAGGGGGATGCAAGGGACACAGAGACAGAGGAGCGAGGGGCGGGCCGGGAGACGACAGGCAGAGCGAAATCTCCTGTCCCTAGCCCAGCTCGCCGCCGTGCTCTCACCTTATTCACATAATCGGGCACCTCCTCGAGGCTGGGGAAGGAGCTCTCATTGGGCTGCAGGGCATAGAACATCATGCGGACCTGCTGGGACCCCGAGAGGCCTCCCTGCGGAGCTGCGGGGCCGTCCATGGCTCCGGCTGCCTCCCTACCGAGAGAGAGGGAAGAGAGAAGGCCGGGGCGAAAGTCCGCCCGCGGGGAAGAGGCGGAAGCCAAGCCGCTGAGCAAGTGAATACGGCAGCCCGCTCCCTTCCCCCTCCGCTTGAGCCCGAGCCTGCAGTTCCCTCATCCCACCCCTCTCCTCCAGGCCAGCACACACGGCCGGTACCGGCGGCCTGCTCTGGGGAGCACGCAGGACACGCTCCCCAAGGGCTCGGATATAAAAAAAGAGAGACAAGGCAACGTTTAGTTTCTCGATTTCTCCTTCCGGTTGGATTTGTTGTTTATTTTAGCCCTTTCGAATGGCAAACCTTTAATTGCTCCGTGACTAATTAGCGTTTAGCTCCAGCTTTTTCTGTGGTTGCAAGTTTGGGGGCACATTTTATAGCTCCAAGAAGAAAAGGAGGACTTGTGGCACCTTAGAGACTAACCAGTTTATTTGAGCATAAGCTTTCGTGATGCATCCGATGAAGTGAGCTGTAGCTCACAAAAGCTTATGCTCAAATAAATTGGTTAGTCTCTAAGGTGCCACAAGTACTCCTTTTCTTCTTGCGAATATAGACTAACACGGCCGCTACTCTGAAACCTGTCTTTATAGCTCCAGCTACACTAAACCACTTCCCTTCTTCTAGATATCAGACATAGCCCGTTGGGCTTACCAAATGAGCCCCCGGGCCCATTCGTTTCTCAAAAAGTCACTGACAGTACAGGTCCAGTGCCCCCATGTCTACATTTTTGAGCTCTCAGCTACTTTTAAAGAGAGAAACCACACTATTTTGCAAGGGGTTGATCTGCTTATGGAGTGAACAACATATTTGGAAAATCAGAAAATGTTGACGAATAATTTTGGGGAAAAAATGTCATTCTTTTACTTGCTCTAATCTCTAGACATATTTTGATTTTCTGTTTCTGAGCTTGGCTGTATTTACCAGGCACACAGTTTTTGATGTTTCATTTTTGCTTTTGAAGTGTGGGGAAGGTTTGTCACAGCCCCATTTGATGACACTCAGGCAAGACATGTCAGTCACTAAGGAGGATTAGAAGGGCTAGCCATTACGTTGTCATTTAGAAAGGAATTAATTAAAATCAGGAAAATATCAGGAAGTAGTAAAACCAGGTATGGGCTAGAATAAAAGCACATCTGCTGCTTACATTCCAAATCCACCCCGGGCCCATTTACCTTTAGCCCATTTACTGTAATGGTGCCTGCCAGGGTCATCGTGGACGGCGTGGGAAAGTATCCTTCCATACAGGAAGGAATAAATCTGCCATCCCTAGAAACCTTTGGGAGAAGACAGCACAATGCTTCCAGGAAAATTTCATTGAGATCTCTCAGAAGGATTCAAGGGACATCCCTGTGTACATAAATAAACTGCTCCACACCCGCTCCCCTGCCTAACTCTCGAGGGGAACAATAACCTACAACAATAGCTCTACCTCTTTGTTGTACCAATACCTCTTCTAGAATGAGTAGCTTAATGAAAAGTCGATACCTGTGTCCTGTTAATGCTGGGGTTGGGCACCATCTGTACATTTAAACAGAGTAGTGGGAAATGCATTTACACACTTACCCAAGGCTCCTTCCCCTGCATCGGGCTTACCCGAGCTCAGCTACCAGGGCTGACTGGACTGGGATGGAATCTCAAACAGATCCTGGCTTGCAGCACAGCTGGAACCCCAAATTGTATGTCCCCATCCTCCTCTTCACTGTTCTCAGCAGAGTCCTCGGGCTTCTCAGAGTGAACTGCAGGGTGTTGGTGTGGTCTCTACCAAGTATGGCCTGCATCTCATAGCAAAAGTGACAGGTCTGTGACTCAGCACCAAATCAACCATTTGTCACCTTGGCATCCTGATTTGCCTGCCACATTTCCTTCACTTTCACGCAGCACTGCTGCGATCCCTGTCATACCCCTTCACCTGCATCCCCCATGCAATCTGCTGGTAGATGTCCGTGTTTCTATGACCGTGAGGTCTGCACAGCCTCTTCTACCCACAGGCTCAGGAGATCCAATACTTCCTGTCTACTCCAGGCAGGAATGTGTCTGGAGTGTGTAGGTGACATTGTCGGTTGGGCATGGGCGGCGGGTACCATAGGCAGGGGGAGGCTGTGCCTCCCCAAACAGCCTAATGTGGATCCTCCCATGCTCCACCCGCAGGCCAGGCCCTCTCCTGTGGTTCCCAGCACTCTGACCTGGCTGGCCCAGACTGGCTGGGGCTGACTGCCCTGCCTCCTGTAGTGACTCAGGGCACTCTGAGGCTGGTAGAGGTGCAGCCGCACTGCCTGGAGCTCTGGGCCTGGCCGCACCACTGGGAGCACCAGGACTGGGGCACTGGTGCCGGGAGCTGTGGTGGGGGTGCTCTGGGCTCCTGCGGAGGAGTGGGGCAGAAGGGAAGAAGGAGAGGGCTCTGGGCCCAAGGAGAGGGGCCGAGGGCTAGCTTCCCCCAAAGGCCAGGTCACTGGCCGCCCATGGTGTTGGGCAGTTGCGTGCAACAAGAGACAGCTGGTAGGTGCTCACCAAGTGGGCAATTAGAAAAAAGCATTTAAAAAATATGCAGGGTTTTTAAAGGGCTCAGTGGCTTCTGGTCTCCATGACTCCTGGGCAGTGGAGTTCACAATTATGACCAGAGCAGTCCATGTCAGGCATTCTGGGACAGCTGCTGGAGGACTGTTAAGGTCATCATAAGTTATACAGTGTCTACACTAACACTGTGTCAACCACAGTAGGTTGTCCAACGCTCACTACTGTTCAGGCTGTGAATGTAGCTGAAAGCTCACGGCTTAAGATTCAAAACCTTGGAGCAAGGGTTTCCAGTGATTTACTTGTAAAATAGAGGAGTGTGGAAAAAAATCCAATAATATTGCTATAGAAGAGGGCCTAACTCTCCTCCCAAACAATGACTAGTAAAGCTCACCCCAAACAGTGGCTGTACAAAAAACTAAAATAGGAAACTAGATGTTTTCTATCCTTATGTTGCGATCAAAAACGTAGAAGTATTTTGTGTCTAAAGACTGGAATTCTATTGTTGACTAATAGATCATTCTGGGAACCAACATAACTAAAGCTTTTGGTCTACTTAGAGGAGATTAGGGAACTGGCCCAAGATTATCTGTAGACAGATCATATTTTTCTTTTCTCTGAAGAACTTTGTTCCACCCACACTAGGAACAGAGCAGGCCCAGACACTTCCTGATTGGGTCTCTTCACAGTACTGCACCAGCACTAAGCAATAAATTCTTAAAGGGAATTCAGACAGGTGGAAAGTGGGTTGGACACTACAGTCTGCCTTAGACTGAATTCTATCCAGCCCTGAGCTGAGACTAGTTTGCTTTAATTATTTAATACTATTCTCGAATATGGAAACAAGCTTTAAATCAGTGAATGATGAATAGTGGAGGGGAAAGACTTCTTATACATTTTTATTCCAACTATTCAATATATAGTTTTAAAGTGTTATATAGCATGGCATTTATTATTGGCCAGGTATTGCAAAGTAATTTAGAATCTCCCTTTGCCAATGAAAAGCTCCATTTTGGACAGCACTTGTTTTACTATTATTATTATTACAGCACTGGCACCTGGAAACTGGGATTATGCTTGGATATTCGTCAGTAATCTCTGAGCCAAGTGGCCAGTAATGCATCAAAGTTATTGCTAATCCAAGGTCTAGTTCCATCTCTTTGTTCTGCCTATGACTAGTTACCAGAAAATGATGTTCAGGTATGACTTTTCATGGGCTATCAATTCAGTGAGACATTATTGGCATGGTAAATTATACAAGTGTTGCTAAAGTGTTTAAAAAAAAAGATAGACCACTCAGGTGTCTGCCAGAATTTGGTACAACCTATCCAGAATAAAGTTACACACTATATTTGGGGTTTTCTTCACTGTGTCCATTTATCATTACTGTCCTTTCCTGATCCAGTGGCAAGTTGCTACATAGTGTGATGCTATGTCTACCATTTCTTTCCTTTCTCTGAGGGTCAGAAACAGTTTTTCCTCATTGATCTTTGATTACATATTTTAAAAATTTAAATTCTTTGAGGAAATCTCTCTCATGCTTCTTGTATTTGGGACCTTGGTGTAGAAAGTGTCTATCTCAGTTTCTCCTCTATTTTGATGGCTGAGCAGCCTCTCTTTTCTGGGTTTAGACTAAGATTAAGTCAAAAGCTTTTTTAAAATCCATGAAGCAGGTAAATATTTTCCCTTTTTTTACTTCTGACATTTTTGTTAATGAGCATCTGTAATTTGTGGTTCATTTCTCCAGGTGGAAATGAGTTTGGCTTTCATGTATTATATTGTGGTTGGTGAGATACTGCATTAGTCTTTTGTTGATGCTGCTGCAGAGGTTTGTTGATGTTGCTGCTAAAACAGATAACTCTGTAGTAGTTTCAGTTGAGAACATCTCCACTTTTTTATATTGGGATAGTCTATCTGATTATATCTCAGGGACGTATCCAGACTGGGAAGTTGGGTTAAACCAGAGTTGGTTGAAATTTTTTTTTTAAGAGAATTAGGCTTCTGTCAGAAAATGATGATTCTACAGAACCAAACAGTTTCACAGGATTGTGTCAATGCCATAGAAACTTTTGGAAGTCTGGCCGGTTTGGTGCAGAGGCCTGTACTCTAAATTGTCCAAGGTAACAAAAGTTCAGCTTGGCCTGTTACATAAAATTGCTTAGAAATGACAGCTAGTGGTTAAAGATGGGAAGACTGAATTAGTCCAAACAAAAAGATCTATTGAATCCACCCAAGGAGTGTGTTAAGATTATAACTAGTAAACAAGAAGAGAAAGGAACTGGATATTAATGGACCAAAACTGGTGTGTCGGAAATTAGGCCTAACTGGTGGAAAAAATAATGAAGAGATGAGCTCTTCCATCCCTCATCCACTTTTGGAAGTCCTTAAAAAGAAGAGTTGGGAGTAGGATCAAAATGGTGGTGATGGGGAGATGGGTAGATTGAAAGGAGCGAGCTTTCAAAATCATGGCTGCCACTCCCACCGTCTCCGGGACTCTGGAGGCCACCATGACACATTGCCACTTCCACCAGCTCTGGCTAAATCCTGAACAACACAT